ATATTTGGCTTCGTTGGCGTGTGGAATTTTTGTGGCATCGATATGAATTTGAATATGGTTATAATTTCTCAATGAGAAGACTATATGTACTGATTTTTCCTTATTGAGCTTGATTCTCCATTTTTTTGCCCATGAAGCAATTTGATTGACTGTGTGTTGCAGATTAGCCGTCGCGTCTTCTATATTGTTTTCGATTGCTAGAACCGCAGTATCATCTGCAAATGTTGCTGTAACTAGTTGGTTTGCAGAGGGTAAGTCGTGTGTATACAGGAGATATAGAATGGGCCCAAGAATGCTCCCCTGCGGGACGCCTGCGCTAATCTTCTTTAGTGCTGAATGTGCATCTTCATATTTAACACTGAAGTACCTGTCGTTTAGATACGATGATAGTAGCTTACAGTATTGTATAGGCAATAATGATTTAAGTTTATGGAGTAATCCTTCATGCCAAACCTTATCGAAGGCTTGTGATACATCTAAGAACACGGCACAACACACTTTCTTCTCTTGCATCGCCGATTCAATGGCATTTACGACTACATGTATTTGGTCGATGGTTGAATGGTTTTTTCTGAAGCCGAATTGATGATCCGGAATTAAGCGTCTTCTCTCGATTATTGGTGATAAACGCGCTAGTAGTAGTTTTTCAAAAAGCTTCGATAAGGTTGGCAATAGAGATATTGGCCTATATGAGGATACATCATTGGGAGACTTCCCTGGTTTAGGTATCATAATTACCTCAGCGAATTTCCAAAAAATGGGTACATGTTTCAAACGGAGGCACGAATTAATTAAATCGCATAGGTAGATGATGCAGTTATTGGGTAAGTTCCGAAGAACTTCAGCCGTTATTAAGTCAAAACCAGGAGATTTTTTGAGTTTCATTGTCAAAATTTGTTTTCTCACTTCTTCCGTAGTGACTGGAACAATTGCAGCGTCGCCTTCGGGCCAATTTGTACTTGACCCAATAACATCTTGGCCTTCATTTGGACTGAAGGTTTTCTCTAGGTGTTCAGCAAACAGGTTCGCCTTTTGAGAATTTGTTTTAGCCCAGTGAGTTTCGTTTATTTTTACTGGGGCAGACTGCTGCATTGGTCTGTTAAATGATTTAGCAGCTTTCCACAAAGAGTATTCATTTTTTTGTCTGCCGTGAGGCCCATCAGAAAACTATTAAAGGTATTATTTTTGTATGATTTGATGGCTGTGCGTAACTTTTTAGTTGCTCGGTTTAGTTGCGATTTAATTAACGGACATCTTGTTGCTTGCCAACGTTTTCGCAATTTTCGCTTCTCCGTAATCTTTTTTGTGATGAAGGGTGGGTATTTTTTACCATGTAAAGTTTGGAGTTTTGGTGTTGGTGTACTGTTCCACGCTGCCATCTGCAATTGCTGAGTGAAATGAAGTACTGCGTCATCTAGTTGCTCGCTGTTAACAATATGATCAAACTTGTGCAAATGTACAAGCTGAAGCTGAAAATATTTCCAGTCGGTAAATTTATTTGCTAACTTGAGTGTGTTCTGGTTTATTGTTGGATTTTGTGAAACTATCAGCAGCACTGGTGAGTGGTCAGAGCTAAAGTCGAAGCCTTCTGAGATGGTTAGGTGAGATGCTGGAATATTTTTGTAGACAAAGAAGTCTATTAGGTCTGGAACTTTGCTAGTATCCGACGGCCAGTACGTTGGTTTACCAGTTGAAATTGAATTACAAGCTGCGAGTTGCATGGCTTTGTACATTTCTTTTCCTTTGGTTGTATTAAGTCTTGAGCCCCAAAACGTATTTTTTGCATTGAAGTCTCCTCCAATTATAAAACGGCCTTGAAACCGGTTAAAGAGAGATAAGTAGTCTGCGCACTTCAACTGATGCCTGGGAGGACTATATAATGCAGTTACGACCAGCGGCTGATTAAAGGTTTCCACGGAAACAGAAGTAGCTTGAAATTCGATTGTGCTATATTGTTCCAGTAAGTGATGTTTTATCGAGTTTCTAATTATGACAGCGCTGCCACCCCTAGCGCAATTATCAGGATGTATGGTATGGTATAGAATATAGTTTTTAAACGTTATGTGCGATTGCTTAGTAAAATGAGTTTCAGCGATTAAACCGATATCAATGTTTTCGCTATTTAATACGACTTCGAGTTCATTTTTATGTTTTGTTAAGCCATTCGCATTCCATAAGAATAGTTTCAAACGATTAGTCATAATCTAAAAATTGCATATTGTGCTCTAGCACGCTTAGACGTTGTTCGAGCGTTTTAAATACCTCTTCTTGTAGATTAAGTTTTGTTAAGATAATTGACAACGCGTTGTTGCTTTGTGACTCAGTACTTTGAATGGGTCCCTTAACAGTTTGGGCGTAAGTGACTGTTCTAACACTAGTAGGTCCAGTAATTTTGGATTTACTTTTTGTTACAGCAACTTGATTATTTTCGTCAGCCTTAGTTTTGTCAGCTTTGTTTTTTAATTTTATTTTTTGTAATTCTTTAGCGACTATACAACCACGATAGTTCGCTGGATGCGGTTCGCCACAGTTGCAGCATTTAGGCTTATCGGACACTACTTGATTCATAAATCTTTGGAAGGTAGGTGCAGCATTGCATAAACCAAATGCCATTCTTGTGAATTCAAGGTTTCCGAATGGTGTTCTGACAGCATTTTTTTTTATATCTTCATTTGCTACGGGAATGTTATGATATGCCTTTGTTATATTAAATTTGCTAAATATTGTTTTACCATCAAAAAAAGATCAAAAATCATGAATGTGTGGCACTACATATCTGTCGAGAATCGTTCTATCATTAAGATTGCGATAATCACTACAGACTCTCCATTCACCATTAGCTTTGTTAACCATGTGAATTGGACTGCACCAACTACTATTGGAAGGGCAACACATTCTCAGCTTTATCGTTTCATCGAATTCTCCTTTACAAATCTTCAATTTTTCTGGAGATAAACGACGTGGTTTGCAAAACACTGGTGTTCCAGAAATTGTTTATCAAACACGATGTTCGATATTGTGTTTGGTGTTGGCATGAAAGTTCAATTTTGTTAAATCTACGAACTCTTTTACCACTGATTACATTTCTGATATAGTGATAGAAGTAACCGAAAGTAACCGAACGGACTATCGTACAGCTCGTGGTTCATTCTAATGCGGTAATCGTCGCTAACTCGTAGAGGACCAAAGATCTTACGAAGAACCTTTCTCTCGAACACTCCCAGTGCTGCTTCATCATTCTGTGATAACGTCCATGCTTCTGCGCCATACAGAAGCACAGGGAGGATGAACGACCTATAGAGCGTAAGTTTCGTTTGTCGAGAGAGAGCTCTACATCCCAATTGCCTACTGAGCCCATAGTAGCACCTATTAGCAATGGTGATTCTTCGTCTGATCTCCAGACTGACATCATTTCTATTCGTTACGGCGGTGCCAAGGTAGATGAAATCCTTGACAGATTCGAAAGTATAGTCGCCAGCCACTAGCCCGGTGTCCGAGCGACGCACATTTCTACCAGTAGCCGACATATACTTCGTTTTTCCCTCATTCACCGCTAAACCAATTCTTGCAGATTTCTTTTCGATAGCAGCAAAAGCAGCTGTAACATCACGGTTGCTACGCCCAATGATGTCAATGTCGTCGGCGTAAGCAAGGAGCTGGACACATTTGTAGAATATTGTTCCATTACGATGAACTCCTGCCCTGCGCATGATCACTTCCATGACGAAATTTAAGAGGTCACGTGATAAGGGATCACCTTGTCTGAAACCTCGCAAGGTATCAAAAGGTTCAGAGAGACTCGATCCTACCTTGACGGAGCTACGGATATTACTTAGCGTCGTTCTGCAAAGTCGAATTAATTTTGCAGGGATACCGAGCTCAGACATTGCGGCGTAAACGCGATCCCTAATGGGGCTACCAAAAGCTGCTTTATAATCGACAAAAAGGTGATGAGTGTCGATGTTATGTTCGTGGGCTTTTTAATATCGATTAGTAAACCAAAATGTGAAATGAAACCATCTGCTTTAGTTGTCTTTTCAAACCAAAGCTGATGATCAATCTTTTGCTGTCATAGGTTTTAATTGGTGTCTGATTCGCTGCATATAAAGTTAAAGCCTTGGGAGTGTCTAGTTTTTCTGACACGTCCGCGTCTGTGTCGATTAAGAACCTGATTTTTGTTTTTTTATCACAAATAAACAAGGAACTAATTTCTGGGAAAAGCTCATCCGTCATTAAAGATGAGGAGCCCTTTAGTTTTTTGATAGTTCACTGTGTACGAAGGTTTTCGCATCTTTCCCAAATTTAAAGTGATACCAACAAAATGTTTGCTCCTCCTTGCAGAACGTGACTTTTTTTATATCTTCTACCACGTGATTGAGATCTTGATCTTGCCAACGATGACACCTGTTGCGTTAATTCTTCTATTCTTTTTTCTTGCTTCTAGTGATTGCATATCCAATGTTGGTTGTGTAGTATGTGCATTAATTTCAGTCACATCTGTTGTATCAAATATTTTATCTGCCATAACTGATAATTTATCTAAGTTATCTTCACTAACAGATAAAATTACTTTAAATTGTAACGGTAGACGTTGCATCCATAGTTGTTTTCACAGCTCTTCTGAAACCTTATCTTGGGATAGTATTCGCATTTTATTTAAAATTTCCGTCGGTTTCTTGTCACCGCCTTCCACGTTGCTAAGAAGTTTTCTTATGCGTTTCTCATCGGAGTCAGAAAATGAGCTAATTAATTTCTCTTTCAGCAGACTGTACATGTTTGTTGTTGGAGTGTTGTTAATAATGTCACTTATTTTCGACAAAACACTGCTTTCCTGTTTAACTGTTTAACATAATATTTGCTAAACATGTCGCATGCGTCATCCAAAATCTGCTGTGGAAAGATATGTCTACCGAGTAATATGTTATTGGTGATAGAGCAGTGCTCGACATAAAAAGACTATAATACGAACAAGTCGACTTCGTTCAAAGAACGAGTTGAGTATGACTTGTGTCGGAAATGTGGTTCAGTCCCAGAATCATTGGATCACATTATCTCCAGCTTTTCTGTAATGGCACCAAGGGAATATCTAAACAGGCACAATGCTATATGTAAGGAAAGCCACCAAAATTTTGCATTCAAGCATGGATTGATCTCTAAAACTTGTCCAATTTACCAATATAAACCCACTACGGTGCTAGAAAACACCAATTTTCGTATGTACTGGGATCGACAAGTTTACACAGATCGCCCAATAACACATAATAAGCCTAACAACCTACTGGTTGATAGAAGTAATGATTCAGCTTACCTGATTGATGTTGCTATTCCGCATAATGGCAACATTGAGCAGAAGTATGCATAAAAGATGAGTAACTACCATACATACCACTGGCTAGGGAAATCAAAGAAATTTCGAGACTTCAGCGAGTGATTGTTGTACTAATAATACTATCAGCCACTAGTATAGTGCAAAAATACGTCTTGTTGCATACATGTACAATAGTGAGGGAAACAATCAACATTCTTTAGAAGGAGCAACACAATTTAATAGGTGTAGAGCATGGACTACACTTCAACAGTGCATAAATTCCTTGATGCTTGTCATCCGGAATTATGTAAATCAGAGAAATAATTTTGTGTTTTTTAATTTAAATTAATTAATTTTTAGTGTTCACAATTTTTTTATTTCATATTGTACACAATACAACAAAAATCATATATCAACTTAAGCATTTAACATATTTGAAAAGTGAATCCAATTTGTGTCAACTAGACTTAATGTTATTTTTATACAACTCTGAAGGAAAAAATTACGGCTAAAATTAAATTTGAAAGTTTTTATTTCAAGTTTCCATATCATACAGTATTCATATAAATCATAGTTTGCATTGCAATTACTGAGTCAGCTTTAAATAATATATCATCTGCATACCGAAATATTTTAATTGTTCCATTTTTGCGATGTCTTCGAAAAGATAGTTGTTCAAGTCATCTATGAACAGCCCAAGAAGTAATGGATTCGCTAGCAACTCTGTTTTACTCCTGATCCTGAAGCAAACCAAGTGGTAAGCAGTTTCTATCCCATATCTATATCAAAATACAACTTGCTCAGTAGTTTTAGCATTCTCCATAATTACTTAACCTATAAAAGATGAGCAATATTCTTGATAATTCATCAATAGAATTGAATGCTGTTTTAAAATCTATAAAAGAGACATTCAATTTTTTTTTTTCTTTTTCACTTATAATTATGCAATATTTGTCATAAATAAAACATTATCTACAATTGAATAAGGATATTTGGTAGCCTGTTTGCCTGTTTGGTATTTTATCGTCGACTCAACTTGCAGTCGTTAACGCAATGCTAACGAATTCAATAAGATATTTCCTCATAATTTTTCTCGTGCGGATCAACTCAAATAGTTGAATTTCTACAACATTCTGGTACTTCTTTTTTTTTTTTTTTTTTTTTTTTTGATTATTATTATTATATAAATACAATCTGTAAAAGAACATTCAGTATTATTTATGAACATAAAAATAGAAAAAGTGATTTGTAGACATGTGCGGGACACTCAGTAGTAAACACCGCTAAAGATTAAATTACAACTAATAATAATGATGACTAATAATAGTGAGTAAATAGTTGGCTATATAAATATTAAATTTCAGTGAGTTTACAATTACGATTCACGTGTTTAGGGTTCTGCTTGGCAAGTCCGACGTAGAAAATCTTCTTAGTCGACGTGGATGATTGATATCTGATAGTAGCTCGTGTGCCAGTGGGTTCGGGTGATTTGATAGTCTTATACGATAGTTTTTGCTGACTGTTTGTATTGTTTCAAACACTGATGGGACAAGGAGATCGCGCTGTAAAGTGCTATTTGGAATATACCATGGAGCAGCCGCACATAAACGAAGTATTTTTGATTCAAATCTTTGCAATATCGCTATATTAGATTTTGCAGCTGTTCCCCAGATCGAGACACCGTAGGTCCATATTGGTTTTAAAATAACTTTATATAAAAGTACTTTATTGTTCAGTGATAGTTTTGAATTTTGGTAAAGAAGCCAGTGCATGGAGCGCATTTTTAAACCCAGTTGCTTGCGTTTCGTAAATATATGATGTTTCCAGGTGAGACGCCGATCAAGATGAATACCTAGATACTTCACGTGATCGGATTGTGGTAGTACGTTATTATTTAGTGTGACTGGTGGACAGTAACCATTGCGAAGAGTGAATGTGATTTGTGCAGATTTGGATTCATTAGCTTTAATGCGCCATTTGTTTAGCCACACTTGGATGCTATCTAGGTTTGTTTGCAACTGACTAGTAGCGACTGTTGGGTTTTTGCTTTTAGCCATGATCACTGTGTCATCGGCAAAAGTTGCGGTATATGTTGATGGGTTAAGTGGTAAGTCAGCTGTGAACAGTGTGTAGAGGGTTGGACCTAGTACACTCCCTTGTGGAACTCCAGCTTTTATCGGGAAGATTTTCGTATTATAGTCTTCTATTTTAACCATGAAATATCGGTTATTGATATAAGACTTAAGTAACAAATAGAAGCTGTGTGGTAGATGTAATTTCAATTTGTAGAGCAGTCCGGTGTGCCATACCTTGTCAAATGCTTGCGTTATATCGATAAATGCTGCAGTGCAGTATTCTTTTCTTTCCAGTCCATCTCTTGCATATTGATAAACACGATTTACCTGTTCAATGGTTGAGTGGCGCTGGTACTTCTAATTATCAAATAAGAACTCCTTTTCAGGAATATATGTGACAGATAAAAGTAATTCAAGCAAAATATCGTTGGCAAAATAATGCATATGATACGGTGCACTAATAATACAAAACAAGTTATGTGGGTCGTAAGCAAAAAGGTGAAATAATATTTTTACACTTTAATAAACCTGTAAATGTAATTTGTTCCCAATTATTTTCAATTGTTATCCGTATCATATCCGTAACCAAATAAGATCCAAATCATTATTTACTCATTTAAAATATAGATAAATTTCTATAATTTTGGTAATGCATAATTAAAATAATTAATTATATTTAATAAAACTATGTATAAATATAATAATATTAATAAAACTATGTATAAATATTGAAATCTTTATTTAAAACGGTTTATTTTCATTTGATAAAGTAATAATAAATATTTATGTATGTATGTTTTTTACGTATACATAAAATTTTATTTAGTATATTTATTTTTAGTTGTTTTAATCTGAATTATGTAAATAAAAAATATTTAACAAAGTTCAAATTCATACCAAGAAAATCAATGTAGTTATATTTGCCACCAAAGACAATTATAAATAATATTACCATTGAACAGTAACAAAATATAAAAATTATTTGAGTGAGAAAATGATACAATACCTTTTGTAATATAAAATGTATGTCTTAGAATTATTTGATAAAATATTTAAAATGATATAATAATAAAAATAATTCAAATTATTTGATTATACCATATACAAGATTGTTTAATTTGCAATATTTCTGCTTTAGTTTCTCTAGTATTAAAAATGTGTAAAATCAATATTCCGTAAACCCATTTACGCCTACTTTTTGAAAACATTAAAGTAATCCTGTACTAATATATGTTTTGCGGAGCAGTAAACATAATTTTCTGAAAAATTTATTCCGGAAAATAAAGTTTAATATTTTAGATATACGAATAACACCTCCTTGATTTTTTGTAATCTTGTGTTGGGATTTAAAGATCATAATATTATAGATTATGTTCACAACATGAGAATTAATAACGTAATTTTAATTATTGATAAAGTAAATTAAAAGTTTGTACGTAATAATAGGCGTATTCGGTGGCTCGCAAGTACGGCAAAAAACAGCAAGTTGTTGGCCTATGCAGGCCTATACTGGC